GTGGGAGAGATGAATGAATGAATTTGGGGTGTGTGTGTGTGTGTGTGTGTGTGTGTGTGTGTGTGTGTCTGCCTGCTAGCAGTCATCCTTAAGGCAGTTATCTTCTCCCACAGTGATTAACTGACTTGGAAGCAATTCTGTGGGTGATCTGTATAGGGCAGCTCCTTACTGCCTTTGTTCCAGGTACTGGACAAAACCCACATCACATCTGTTTAGACACCAATTTGGCCTGTCACTTAGTAAGAAAAATCACCACTCTACTGGATTGATTAGAACAATTAGTTTTAGCTGATAGCTAACACATATACACCCTCACATTCTGTCTGCCATCAGGCCTAATGATAGGGTGGTAATAGCCTTGGACTGGGGGTCAGGAAAACTGAGTTCAAATCCCAGCATTCCACTTAAAATTTTGGGTGAGCTCCTTCACCTCTGATCACCTCATTGAGTTTTCCCATATGTCCAACTGTGGAAGATATCTTCTTACAGGGTTGATGATGATGATACTAATAACACCATCACCAGCAACATTAATATCCCTTTTGAAGTGGACAGTCCTGTACAAATAAAAAGAGCTGTTAAAATTATTATTATAGGAAGCCTAGGGATGATGATAGGCCGTCAAGTAGAAGTTGATGTCTGTCAGGAAGCAACAGAGTAACAGAAGCAGGATGGAGATTGCAGACACAGGGACAGCTTTGCCAAACGGCAGTTAGCCTGAAGCTCAATGCGGCCATGCTTGATTTTTGACACATCCCCACCCACTTCTCTAAATCCTTGGAGAAGGGGATCCAAAGTGATTCTGCACACTCATTTTGCTGAAGGCAGTTGTTAGAGGTGAGTTACCTCATATCTTTCATTTCCCAGTTCTGTCTGCTCTCAGTGTCTTCCTGAGTTGCATGGAAGGAGGAAACAGGCTCCCACCAGGATTCCCCTTGGGAATAAAAGCTCCATCTCCTCAGGTCTCAGCTTGCATCTTGAAACTATAACCTTGCTGCTGCTATGTCTACTCTTTTTGCACATCCCTGAAGCTCAACTTCAAGGTTTAGTTCATGACCACCTCTTCCCTGGTGTCTTTGAGATCACCTCCCTCATGCTGTGCAGCTGCCATGTTCAAAGTTAGTACAATCCAATTTTCAATGTACTTGTCATTGATTCATGTGTTCTGGTTCTTCTTTTCAATTTTCATCACAATTTTTATTCTCAAGGCATTATTGAAACATTTCTTAAAATCCCCCAACTCCGTGGTACCTTCCATGGATAAAATCTTTAATAAATAGTGAAATGCAGTTTTAGGAAAACTAAAATAATCTCAGACCTCTGAGAAGGCATGTGGCAACCTTTGAGAAATAATAGGGTTGTGTAAAGGGTATGGGAAGGAGTCACCAGACTGTAATCATGTGACCTTGGACAAATCATGACCAGATTACTTCCCCAAACATGGTAGCAATTCACACTCCCAACAGCAGCTTATGAATGTCTATTTTAGATCGGTGGTTTTCAAACTGTAGCAGCATAAAGATCTATTCAAAAGCTACCTCTGAGTCCTACCAGTTAAATTACCTAAAGATTCCCCAGACAGCTAGATACTACTTTGTTGGCAAACCCCTAGAAACACCCCATCATTGCCCTGGAACCACTGCCCTCCTGGGGTTCCAAATGCACAATTTTAAAACCTCAATTCTAGACCCTAGCAACTCCCGCTTATATATATTTGTGGGTTGACTGAACCTGACATAGAGTGCCTATGTTTGAAGGGTGGCTGGGAGCTAGATTTTCCTTAGGTTTCCAACTGGAGTCAGGAACTGAGATGGAGGAGCCCTGTCTAGGCAGCGGCCCTGAAGGAGGTGACCCAATAATAAAGGCAGGAAAGCAGAGGCCACACCAAAGAAGTGTGTCCATGCAGTAACCTGCTATTGGGAAAATGCTCCCTGCCAATGGTCTCTGACAGTTCTTTTCCTTCCCATTACTTTATTAAACAAGCATTTATTAAGGGCCTAATCAAAGTAGCCACAAACTATGCTCTGAGCTAGGCATTCACAACATTATCTCTGCCTCTAAGAACTTAGCAGGCTCTTCAGAACCAGTGAGTAAATGCCAGGATAGCATGGAAGAACTCAGAGGAAGCCATGTGACCCAGAGAAACTCAGGGAAAGGAGAGGGGAAGTTTTCTTGAAGGTGTTGATTCTCATGGTTAAAACCAGAATTGCAAGTGGGAGCTTGTTAGGTGGAGGTAGAGGGAGAGGGACAGGGCAAGGATATTTTGCAGAGAGGAAACATGTATTTCTATTTTTAAAGCAGAAGAATATGGAAAGAGCCAGGGCAGGGGTGCCTGAGTGGCTCAGTTGGTTAAGCGTCTGACTGAGGCTCAGGTCATGATCTTGTGGTCTGTGAGTTCAAGCCCCATGTCGTGCTCTGTGCTGACAGCTCAGACCCTAGAGCCTGCTTCAGATTCTGTATCTCCCTTTCTCTCTGCCCCTTCCCCACTCATGCTCTCTGTCTCAAAAATAAACAAACATTAAAAAAAAAAAAAGTAAAAAAAAAATAGCCAGGGCTGAGCTGAGCAGAGTTCAATTCCTTTCTCCTCCATTTTCTACCCTAGCTACGTTATTAATTTCCTGGTCTAATAATCATACACCCTGCAGGGCTGTGCTGAGGATTAAATGAGATAATGCATAACAAGTACTGTGTACATAGTATACTCAGTGAATGTTAACTATTGCCCATTACACCGACTATAAGGTGGTTAACCATAGGTTTGCCTTCATTACCTTATTCATCTTCGTAGCCTCACTGCCTGGCCCAAAGCCTTGCATTTTGTAGGTATCCAATGAATATTTATTAAGTGAATGCTGAATAAGTACAAAGGCATGTAAATAAATTTTCAGGATTAGAAAGCCATTTTTTATATGGCTGGAGCCCATCTACCTCTTTGTCCAGACAGACAGACATAGGCAAACACATGGCTTCTCAAGACTGCATGGCAAATCTTTCCCTCACATACTCCCAAAGCAATGGGTCTCCCAAAACACACCTTTGACAGCAACTATTTCACATACATCTACTGTGGCACACACAGACAGGAGGCTCCTCCTGCAGACACAAATGCACACGCTGGATTGTTAAAGCAGGTTTTACTTCATGAAGTGCACAGAGGCTGCCATAAATGTTAAATAACAACCATCTCAAATGTCCCATCCTCCTTCTTGCTCTCACATAGACACTTTTGAGAGACAACCTTTTTTTCTCCACCTGGGTTTTTTCTCACCTCATGAAGAGTGAATGTCCACACTCACATCTTCTCAGCTGAGAGTTTATCCTTTGACTTCCTAACTTTGCTCCCACTAGCAGTGGACCTCAGGGAAATCCCTGCCCCTCTCATGCCTCAGTTTCTTCACTGGTAAAACATAGAGAATTAACAATGCTTCATGCCAACCTGGTAGTTACATTGTGAGGATAAAGGAGATAACAAATGAGATAATGTCTGTGATGTGCAGAAAGCACCTCAGAAGAAAGGCACTGGATAAATATAAGGTGTAAATGCCACACCTGATTAGTGTGTGTGCCTCTGCCCACAGATTTCCACCCACACACTCTGCTCTTCTCCACCCTTGAACACAAACACCCTTCCTGCCTGTAAATGCAGTCTCAAATACCCATTTTCATGTATGTACAAATATATACACACTTTCAACACCTGTATTTTCTGCAGAATGCCCACAGAAAATTATTTTTGAACTTAGAGGAAGCTCAGGTTACAAACTCTAGCTCCTACCTACAGAATCACTTCAAGGGTACCTGGCGCTGGAAGAATTGCCAAGCAGACGGCTCACCTCTCTGTGGCTGGGCTGCTCAGCTCCCATGACTGCAATTAGGCTGCACTACCAGCAGAGCAGGAGACCCTTTATCTGGTACAGCTCTTGCCAAGAGCTCTCCAGAACTCAATGCCTCCACACTAGTTTGCCAGCATCCAAGACCCAAGATCAGGGCTGATGGTTGCAGGAGGGTGTGGATGGAATGGGAGAGGAGGGACCCAGGAACTTTAGATGCTTAGATCCCTAACACTCTTTGTTCCTGGGGAACTGAGTGCTCTGAAGCTAACAAGTCTCAAGCACTTTCCTAGGCCTGACATACTTGTGGGTGAGAAGAACACTCATTTTCTCCACAGTTTACTCCTTTCCACTTGGAGCACGAAGGAGAAAGCTCACCTGGCTTGTGGTGTTTTGGTGCCTGTTGCTGCTGAGTTGTATGCTCTGAAAGATGGAGTTAAGTATGTTGAAGGGTGTGGTGGGGGGTGTAGGGAGTGGGGGGCTGGCTGCCTATGGTGGGTGAAAAAAAGAAGTGAATGTAGTGTGTGTGGGTGTGGAACTGTGCGTGTGTTAATTTGGCTAAATGGCAACTCGAGGACTGATCCTGGTGACCCACAACTCCAGGGTGCCACTTACCTTCATTCATTAACCCCCTCTCTACCCACCTCAGCCCCTGTGACATATTCCTTCAGTGAAACATTACAGACCTAACTGTATCGCATCCCTGCCACCCTGTGAGTGCAGACACAGCCCATCTCCATAGTTCAGAAGTCAAAGTGCAGTGACCGGACCCCAGCTGTCAGACCCTCTGTCTAGGACCTGGCCCCCTCAGGGCTCACGCACACTCCCCTTTTCCTCATCTCAGACATCACTTAATATCCATCAAGATCAGATTAGGGGCTTGGAGTAGATAAAACCAGTCTCCGGGAGACCGAGACAAAGAGGACAGACGCAGCATCCTTTTCTCCAGACTGGGACCAGAACAGCAGCACCCACCCCGGCAGAGGGAGAGACCCTGACAGTTTCATGCAGAGACAAAGACACCTAGACAGAATCTGACATAGACAAAGACCGACGGACGCACGGACGCACTGGCACGCCGTGAGGAGTGCAGTTTCCCTGGGAGCCCTGGTGCGGGTGCCGCGGCTGCAGACACTTCTCAGGAGCGACCCCTCGTCCACCGCACCTTACCTGCCCCCTTGAGCCTCGGACTGACTTGAGAATTTTTTTTCAGTGTGTTTCGCAGTGTGTTCCCGGTTGTCTTAGCAGAGCTGCCGGACGAGCGGGTCCCGCGGCGCCGCCACAACTCGCGGCTCTGGCTAGCTGGACCAGGCGGGCAGAGAAAGTTTCGGCCTCCCGGCGCGTCCGCCGCCCGCCAGCTCTCCGCGCGCCGGCCACCGCGCGGGGTCCCGGAGCCGAAGGCGGGGCGGGGCGGGGCGGGGCGGAGCGGAGTGGGGCGGGGCCAGCGCCGGCACCGCTCATTGGCTGGGGCGGGGCCTGCAGCCTCTCACTTGCGGCTCGGCGGCCTTTGTTCACCGCTGACAGCTGGGGCTGCTCTAGACCTCTGGGCTCCTTGGCGTCCGCCGTCCGCCGTCCCCCATCTCTCAGCTCTCACTTCCAGGAGACCCCGCCGGGCGGCCCTGAGTCTTTCTCGCCACCCACCCCTCCACCCCGCCCTTCCCTTTCTCCTACTGTTCTATCTTGTTCTTGTCCCTTCATTTTTTTTTTTTTCCTTTTATTATGTGCACTCCGTTCTTATTCCTTCCGGTTTCCTTTATCCATTCCTTCGCTTTCTCCTTTTTCCCGTATTCCTCTCCTTCTTTATCACCCCTTCTAGTTACTCGCCAGTTTCCTTTCCCCAGCACGGTCTCCCTACAGCAACCCCCAAATCCCGCAAAAAGGTTGGATTTCTAGGTTCAAAGAGGGACCCGCAGCCTTGGTGAAGGGCAGTGCTTCACCCTGCTAGGACTATAGACTGGAGGCCGGAGCACTGGCACTCCCACTCCTAAGACATTTCAAAGGCAAACTTTTTCAGCTTCCTCGCGGGGACTCGGTTTCAAGTGATAGCTGAGGCCTATTTCAAGTTTATAGCTTTAATTCTCACCCAGTGCATTTTTAACGCTATCATTTTCTCTACCACTCCCACTTTTAACTTCTAGCAATTGAGCTAGGAAGGAAACCCAATTTACAAGCTTTGGTAGGACAAAAGACCAGTTAAATGGGGTGCTGGGTGTGGCATGAAGCTCTGATCCTGAGAGTTCACCCAGGCTAATCCGCTAAAACCACGAATAGCTCTACCCGGGGAATGCCATCTTCAGCCAAAAGAGGTGTCTATGTGTGGAGGAGGGAAGATGGAGATGGCTAATCTCTGATTACAAGTAGAGTGGGGGAAGACAGCCCCAACAGAAGCAACATCATTTTGTTTCAGCCACCCCACTGCTCAAAACTTTGTAAGAGATCCTTACTACTTCCAGATCTTGACTCTGAAAACCCCTACTCTCAATCCCAGGCTTCCTGGAAGGCAATACAACATAGAGTTTAGGAGCACAGACAGGCTCTGCTAATTGTCTTCTCTGCATCCCTGAGCTAGAGCATTAACTTCCTTATATCTCAGTTTTTTTGTTTTTTTGTTTTTTGCGTTTATGAAATGGGGGTAACAATTCCTGGAATGTAAACTTTCTGAGGGCAGGGACTTGTTCTCTTTTGTTCTTTTGGTCTGCTCTGTTTACAGATGTATCCTCAATAACTAAAACTTGGGTAGCATATAGTAGTCATTCAATAACTGCTTGTAAATGAACCAATTCCTAGTTCATAGGTTTGCTATGAGGATTAAATAAGAATCCTTGGCATGTGATAAGTACATACACATGGTAGCTATTACAAATAACATTACAACTTTTTTGAATCAACTCCAAAGGCTATTCAGCCTTCTCTAAACATCACCTCTTCTTTTTCACCTCTGTGTATACTTGTCACTCAGTTTGAGAAGTCTTTCTCTACCTGTCAGAATTTGAGACCTAAAACACAATCCTTATTTACCCCTTCTTCCATCATCTCAGTCAAAATGACAGTTCCTTTCTCTAAAGCTCCATGCCTCTTATGTCCCATTCATTGACACAGCATATGCAAGCTTGCTTGCATGGCGGCTGTTACTGCAGGTCTGTCTTTCTCTAGACCATGAACTATGTAGAGTCAGGGACTTGGTGTGCTCCCTCACAGGTGGGAGTTTCTCAGAAACATTTGCTGAGTGGTTTAATATAGACCAAACATCTCAGCACTTAAGAAAAAAAAAGGTATTATCTTGGAAGGTAGAATAAGGGGTCAGGTTGGCTTCAGACTTCAGTCAAACTAATTTTTGTGTTTTTAGATGTGAAATTCCATGGAAGGGGAAAAAAGTCCTGGAAGTCTGTTCCTCATTCTGGCCCTACAGTTACTACTTAAATGCTCTTGGATAAGCCACATCCTTGACTAGTCCTCAGTTTCTTCATCTGTAGTAGTTTGAATGAGACTCTTTAAGGGCATTCATCCAGCACTGACATAGTGTGACTCTCTGATAGAGACCTTCTAGGGAGAATATAAAGCATGATGTGTAGCACTCTTATAATGACTGAGTTAGGCAAAGGGTATGGGCAGTGTGTTGGTGTGTTGGTAGAACCAGGATACAGTATGAAATAACAGAAATGCCCTGTGCAAGGGATGCTTCAAAGATAGAATGGGGTGCATTGAAAGTGGGGGTGGAAGTAAGGAAACAGAATAAGGGGAGGAGAGCTGCCATGGTACTGTGTGTGTGTGTGTGTGTGTGTGTGTGTGTGTGTGTGTGTTTTCCTAAAAGCCTCAGGAATGTGGTCTCCAGAAGCAGAAAGCCATAATTAGCTCCCTGATTCAGCTGTTGGGTATGGTAACACACTGACTCGCTGTGTCTGCCCCTGACGCCCCTGTTGGGATTCTCGATGTGGCTCCTCTTCCTTTTTCTGGTGAAGGGGCGCTGCCCTAACTGGGCCCCAGGTGTCCCATCTGGACCTCTGCATCCTTCAGGCTCTCCTTTGCCTGTGCTTAGTCTGGAAAGATGGGTCACAAAGCATTTTTTTGTAAAAAATTCCCTACCCTCCTCATCTGTTCACCACCTAAGATTCAAGTAGTTTGCCATTCTGGCTTCTATCTTTAGGATCTCAGACTGATCACATAGGACCAGGCCCATGGACCAGTTAATCTAACAGCCTCTCTGGACTAGATACACCTCTGCCTTTCTCAATGTACTTTCACCTATTACAACTTAAATAATTGTCCATCTTGTCTGTGTGTTCTTCTGTAAACTTCTCATTCAAAAGACTATATCCTTCTTGTTCAACATTGAATGCCCAGTACATTGTTGGTATACAGAAAGCACTCAGAAATATTTGAATGAGGTCTATAGAGGGGGGAAAGATGATATTTTAGAAAGAGGAATGGACTCAAATACAAAAGAATCACATCTACTCCCACTTCTTCACATTTGTGGTCTTTTTAAAACCTTTCTGAGACTCTGTTTTGCTCATTGGTAAAATGGGCTTATTAACACTATCCTCACCTGTCTTGTGGCAATGATGCAAAAATGAAAAGAATTAATGAAGTTGAAGGTGGTAAGAAAAGCAAAACATGTAAAATAGTTGTTTAATTGTTTAATATTATTTCAAGTCTAAAACTCCAGATACTTGTGTTAGACAGTAAGAAAAGCTGACTATAGGGGCGCCTGGTAGGCTCAGTGGGTGGAGCATGTGACTCTTGATCTCAGGGTTGTGAGTTTGAGCCCTATGTTACGTGTGGAGATTACTTTAAAAAAATAAAAATCTTAAAAAAAAAAGAGCTGACTATATTTAACTGAGGTTGGGTAATCTCCAAAAGTAGATGAGAAAATATAGTGCTAGATCACTGAGTCACTACTGCATCTATATCCAAGCTACCTAGGAAAGTACAGGAAGGCTGATTTTTCTGAAAGTCAATCCAATGCCTCTTGACCTGGAAGGATGCCCCACCAGTGTCCTGTCTCCCTCCATGATTGGGGGGTGGGGGAAACAGTTCCCTTGGAATTTTCCAGATGTTTAGTTCTTATAACCAGAATTTACATTCCTTCCCTGTTTGTCCCTGGACACCTTGTACCTCTTATCCCTGAACTTTAGTAAACTCTTATTTGCATTGGGAGGAACATCTCTTCCTTGACTTCTCTGGGTGTTATGAAGACAAATAGGATAAAATGCGAGTAATGCTTTTCCTTTCCTAGAAAGTACTAAATGACTCCAAGAAATTGTTAATCATTATCATCAGGAGGATTATCATGTAGAACTTCATTCTGAGTACTTAATCTGTATTCGGGAGACCAGGGAAGTTGTAGAGGGAACAAACACCTTTAGGAGCCCTAGGGAGAACATGCCGATGTTAGAATTCCTATCAAATGAAGACTTTTTACACTTGCATGCTCAAGTAATCTCAAGAAGTTTGTCCATCCGACTCTTTCATTGAAAGGAAAACTGAGTCAAAGAGCAAGGTGAGAAATTGACCCAGCTTTACTGGAGCTGGGACCCCAAGGTTTTGAGGCATGTATCCTATTGCTGCCTCAGAAGCCTTGTAACTGATACAGTGCCTGAATGTGGTTTGGTTTGGTTAGTGGAGACCAAAGGCAGACAGCCTTCCCCTGAGCAGAAAGTAGTGAAACAGCCACATTGGCTAATGCAAAACCAGGGCTCAAATGGCACTAACTGGCTTCTAGTGTAAATAGGCTTTGTTCATCCATCAGTTGACAAGGCTCATGTGATAATCCTTTAGCAAACCCTTCAATGTAAATACAGGGTTGAACTAGATTACAGAGAAATAAGGAGGAAGTATTATGATTTGACATGTCCTGCCTCACTTCAAATACCATTTTCAGTGGGATACAATAGGCTATTTCTAATTCTGGTCTGGCATATCACCTGTTTTGGAATCTATCTCTTCTGTGGTTTTGACTAGTTTGTCTCAAACTGTAAATCAGGAGGATGTTTCCATCATAAGTAACAAAAAGCCCAAATCAAACTGGCCTAAACAATAGGTAACAAAAATCTCATGAATTAATACATTAAGAGATTAGCTTCCAGATTAGTTCATACCTTGGCTTCACAGTGTCATCATAGGTGAGGTCTTTGCATCTCTCTGTTCTGCCAATCTTGGAGTATGGGCTTTGCCCTCAGGATGTTTGCTTCATGACTTTGGTTGGATATGCCAGTCTAGTGGTCATACCCAGAACTAGTGATGGGCTGAGAAATAAAGGACCTTTTTTTTTTTTTCCTGCATCTCTTTCTTAAGATCAAGAAAACCTTTCCTGGAAGGCTCTCAGCTGACACCGGATAGGATTGGAGACACCATACGCAAGGAGTATGGCATACTCAAGGAGAAT